TAACAATCATTTTTTGTTTTTGTTCATATTCCTCAATACACTTTTTGAGGTTATGTAATTTTCTCAGATAGGCATCTATTGAAGCGGCTACTGTAGTGTGGTCCATCTTGTTGCAAGGATGACTGACAACTATTTTCTCGTTAACGCAAGAAGCCACTCTTGAAGCTCAGCACAGTTCCTTAAAGCACACATACATAGTCTCAAACTGTGATGTAGACATCGTGGTTTATTTTTATTGAAGTTCAACACATCTAGACTGGTCTGGAGTACATCTTCTAAGTTTATGATTTCTGGTTGGAATTCCTCATCGCGAAGGGAAGATAACAAAACTAGTTTTTGATGTCCTTTAACGTATACAAAATCAACGTCTGATAAATGCGACTTGATGATATCCTTCAATTGGTGCTGTTCCAAGAATCCAGAGGAATATTTCAAACCATGATAATTTTTTTCCAGCCATCGCACTTGCACTTTATCGTTTGTATTTAAGAAACAAAACGGCGTCAATGGTTTAAAAATATAGTGGGTTATCTGGTTACTAATTGAAATCGCTAATTCTTTAGCTAAAAACCCGTTTGAAAGTTGAAAACCTTGAACATCTACTGCTGCTATTTTCATTGCGTAACCGATTAAGATAATTCTAGTACTACGCACCACGACTGACTGAGAGCTTCGACTGCTAGTATGTTACATTTAAATTAGTTTCCGAACAATTTCGCTTAGCGGTAAATACTCTATCACAGAATCATGAATAATAATACAGTAAGTTCTAGTATCAGCGGGAAAACCTTCAGCAGATTCAAATTCTAGTTTTACATCAACGGTGGACGACTTTAAATCTTCGCTTCGCTTGGAACAATCAATAACAAATAAAGCATGAGTTTTGAATGTAGAATAGTCAAGTAATCCGTGTTTATCGTTATCATTTGAATACGTTTTGGCAAATTGCGAATACATATGATGAGCTTCCATATATTTATTATTTTTAAAATCTAACTTCATATCTTCATGAGGATAATAGTCCGAATTAATCATTAACTTTATGTTTGTAAGATTTGCGTTATCTAATATGTGCTTATCCGCTTTTGCTACATCTTTTCTAGCTGTTTGAAAGGCAACAATAACAAATCTTGGAACTTCTATAGCTGAACTTGTCTTTACTGACCATATAGTTTTCGTGGCATTATGAGGTAAGGATGGTAATTCATGTATTGACCACTTTCTATAACCCACAAGTATAGAAGTATCATTCTTTATCTTTTTAAGTACATCCAATTTTAGCGCATCATTTAGAAATATGTGTTTAACTTTAAGTTCAATAGAATTTATCTGAATGGTAGCCGTTGCGTCACCAATGACCTTTAGACAATTATGATCGTATCTGGAACGAACCAAACGTATAGTATGCCTTCCAAACATTGGTTTTCTATAATCAAGAAAAAAACCGAGAAGATGCCATAAGGGTATGCGAAATGAAAACGTCATATCCGCATTCAAAATTGCATTGGATGGAAAATTCCATCCAGCTATAGCCATATGGTTACTATCGTTAGGATTGTAACATAAATAACCTCTTATCATGCTCACAATACCAGGATCACGTACACGATCTAGTTCTTTTCCATTCAATTCATATGAAATTGAATCGAACATAAAAGCACCAGTGTTATTGACTAATTCTACTTTAGCTGAAGCGGTAGTAGAATTACTTTTTAGTAACACCTTACCATCTATACAGATAGCAGCTTCATACATCGCTAACCAGGCATCTTGTTGATAAATAGTTATTTCAATTTCATCATTATTATCAAAAGATTTTACAAATGGATAATATGTACGGTATTCTTCTTTTATTACAGAGTTATCGAACGATGGATTTTCGAATATATGATGGACTGACAACATTGTATCCCAAAGATTTTAAAAACAAAACGTTTGTAGGTGTTAGTGCTTTAGTTGAAGGATGACTTGCCTTCATAAGATGATTACGAAAGACTGAATCATAAGTTGCAAACTTGTTCTTTTTATATGTGTTACTATTGGAGGTAATAGGTAATCCCATTTTAAGTTAATTTTTTAAGTTCCAGTCTAACAATTATCTCTTCCCCTCTAAAGTTAACAAGCTCTCCGTTTTGGTCTAATATACGTAAACTAATGTTATTGATAGTATGTGTTTCGGATACAGGTAAATATATCAAGTTACGAGGTTGAATGTCTATAGCATAACCAGCATCTACGTCAATGGAAAATTCAAAAATTGCGTGTGACGGTTCGCTGTTATAGAATGAACCTGTTGTAATATTACAGTCAATGTGTACAGTAATCACTTTAACTATTTTCACTGGTAGATCGGACGAATGAAGAATACCGGTATCTAGTACTTTTTTTGAAAATCCAAGGATTCTTCCAATACTATCTTCGTGCTTGAAATCTATAACGTATTGATTACTAAACAATTCGCACTTGAGAGTATTATTGTTCGGTTTGAGTGAAAACGGTGGTATTTTTTCCAGTGTTTCTGTATGAGTATTGAGATACTGTTCGATGTCACCTATTTCGTATACACCTGTTGGAATTGTTATTGTTTTCACTTTGTTGTCTTTCTTGTTATGGAAATAAAATTTATTGGCACCTTCTTCTATGTTTGGGATTGTGTTGTATGAATGAAAGCCAATCAAAGCAATTCCGTAAAGTGAATGAGGTTCGAGTTCAATTGGATTGATAAAATCAATGGATAGTACTGAAGAGCGACTTCTCAGAGTGATTAACTGTGACATAATGATACAAAGGTTGTTGAATCATTGAGTTTTATATAAAAATTCTAAACACAAATGTCCGCAATTGAACTGATCAAATGTTTGGTAAGGTTGATGATTATAAAGTATTTTCACACCAGTACCAAGGTATCGAATTAGCTCAAGAGGAGGTTTTAAATTTCCAAAACTATCAAAATAATTAACTACTTTACCTATCTTCCTGTATGCTACCCAATGAGTACCAGCATTAGCACTAAGATCTAGATTGATAATTGCACACTCGTTATTTTTTGGTTTCGTGCTCGGTAGGGTATCCCTCATATATACATTTTTAAAATGCTTTATGTTGAGCAGTTTCGCGTATCTCAAAATATCATGATCGGAAAGCGCTCTATTGGGTAGCTTTACTGGTAGTTTTTTGATTTCTGTTTTTTGACGTATAAACCACTTCCAGATGATTGTTTTTCCAGGAATAAACCCATACCACCATGCTTATTTTTATGTAGATACAAGCCAGATCCTCGTTTACCTAGTGCAATAGCTTCGATTGTTCTGTTATGTCGCTCTGCTTCTGCCAATTGTTTTTTGGCGTTCTTAACGTCGATAGCAGTTTTTGCAACCGCAGCAGCTCCACCTGTAAGTGAACCCAATGCCCCTAATGCTCCCAGTATAGGTAGAATTGGTAAAATGCCACCTGTCTTTGGTATCGGTATAATTCTAGGAATATTTACTTTTTCGTCGCCCACCGGCACGTTTAATAGCTACGCGGGCTGCGCGTAACGCAGTCAGTGCAGATTTATTCAAATCCGCTTCATTGTCACTATGAGGTAGCTTTATTTTTTTCAATATATCCCGGTAAAAGGAAATGGACTTGAGTTTTTTTATTCCATTTTTCTTAGTTGCACCCGAATCCATACCTACGTTACGTTTAATCTTCATTGCTTTCACTGTAGGTTAGATAACAATTTGTTGAGACTGCTCTATAACGTTTAATAGGTGTTGATGGTGTGAGATCAAACCAATTAATAAGGTTAATGTTTAGTGATCTCTACTATATATATATATATATCCGTCTACAACCATTCACTCATTGACAAGATGCGTCTCGTTAAACAACAAATCTTATTACCCACACAAAATTTAGATTATTGCACCGTTACACCTGTACCCTTAAAATTCAAACACAGTAAGTTGCTACCTAATAATATTCGTTGCGCAGTTTGCGGGGTAAGTGGTTCTGGAAAGACCAATGCTGTATTATCACTTTTATTTCATCCAAACGGTTTGAAATTCAAAAATGTATACATTTACTCCAAATCCTTATATCAACCAAAATATCAGCTACTTAGAAGTGTTCTTGAGAAAGTTAAAGGTATACAATATTTTCCATTTAGTGACAATGAAACAGAAATAGTTGATCCATCGTGCGCTAATGAACATTCAATTTTTGTATTTGATGACGTTGCAACTACGAAACAGGATAAGATCAGAGATTATTTTTCCATGGGACGACATAAAAATATTGATTGTTTTTACTTATGTCAAACATACTCGAAGATTCCCAAGCAGTTGATAAGAGATAACTGTAACATGGTCAATTACAGCACCTTCAGTACAAAAAAGGCAGCCATTGCAGAACGATTAATACGAACTTTGAAAGAAAAAATATTTAAGCATTTTACTCTTAATGGATCATATCGATGGTATGATATTTTATTTGACTTAGTTGATATGTATAATAATCATAAGCATCGTACAATTGGTTTAAGGCCATCTGAAGTTAATAAAACTAATGAAAATGATATTTTGAATAATGTGTACAGTCATATCAAAATGGCTGGAAATAGAAAATTGAAAGTTGGAAACTTGGTTAGAATCTCCAAAGAAAAGCATTTGTTTAATAAAGGATATTTGCCGAATTGGACAACTGAGGTATTTAAAATATCAAAAGTTCAAATAACTAATCCTACAACGTATTTGCTGGAAGATTTACGTGGAAATCCGATTTCGGGGGGATTTTACAATGAGGAATTACAAAAAACATCCATTCCAGATGTTTATTTCGTTGAGAAGGTATTAAGAAAGAAAAATAATAAAGTTTACGTGAAATGGCTTGGCTTTGATAGTTCTCATAACAGTTGGATAAACTCATCTAATCGTTTATAATATTTAAAAATTGTGGTGGGGAGATAGATTGATATATAGTAGTGTTATCATTTGCTCTTCCCGTCAATATTCAGAAAGATGTTCTGCCGTAAAGACATAGAAGATGAAGAATCAGATAGTGAAAACTATCAATCAGAAATTGAGAATTACTGCAAGGATATTGATTCGTACTATTGGACTGAAATAGAAAAAATAAACAAGGAGTGCAAACACCAAATTCTTCAAGAAAAAACACCTTACTTATTGGGTACAGATTATGTAACTGCTGATTGTAGTCCGTTAAGTATCCATTGTGGCTTGAGTATTGCAAGGTGTTTCGCACCATCAGTAAAATTGATGAAAAAATCAGAAATAGGAACTCAAATCACATTCCGTGCTGACGAATGGGAACTTTTTATTTTCACCTTACGATGTCTGGACATCAGTTATTTATCGGACAATGAAGTACCATGCATTACAACATCCAAAGAAGAGGACATTAAACATATTGAATGTGATGAAGATGTGAAAATATGCAAAACGTCAACTTTAGATTGTAAATTTTAAAAGTTTACACAAGTAGGGCCTGCTTTTATCTATCACATAATGTGATAAATGATATACTCCATATTGATGAAAATATTATCAAATATAAAGTAGGTGCTTTATATAAAATGAACTTCCAACAATTTTATCAAAACTTTTTAGAGATTGTTTGTAACGTAGTACTACAAACTCAGGAAAGAAATTATGAACTTGTAATAAGATCCTTTTGTGACGTATGTAATGATAACATAGAAAGTTATTGTGTACGAGAATGCTTACTGTACTATAAAAATAAGCTCTTAAGTGATTTAGCTAGTAAATTATCTGTGTATGAAGCAGCTTTGATTAAATAAACGGTTTTGTAAGAAAATTTTATTTGTTTTTTATTATAGGAAGGGGTAAGGAAACATACAGACATATTGCAAAACGTATTTTTATTTTCGTTACATATATTTTATGATACAGTCAATGTTTAGCAGTATATGCAAGCACATTTACATACATTCTTAAAAGTCAATGTCGGAATCATCGTTACCAGAATCTACAAATCTCGTAACATATGGGTGATTATTATTATAATGATCGATGTTATGTAGGTCATTTACACAAGTATATTCGTCTTTCAAACCCAACAATAGTTCCAAAAAGTCATTTTGACAGTACATATTTGTAGATCTGTATAAGCGATGAATTTCTTGAACCTGTAATGTTATATGATAATGGTCTCGAAGAACAGTAGGTCTTTTTTTATTCCAGAGGCCTAATACTACCATAAATGCGTTACAGCAACCCCAACATAATCTTAAATTATATTCTGGAATGTAACAAATGTTAACCCAAACACAATACTTTGGAAAAATATATATGTCTTCAAAATTTGCTTGACATAAAAGTGCCTTCCTATGGGTTTCACTAGGTATTTCCCTTGTATGCTCCACTGCTTGTATAATTAAAATATCTGTTAAAGGATTATCGTGTGCTTCAAGCAATATTTTTGTCCATTTAAAATTCGCATAACACTTGATAACTTCCACAGTTAGTGTCCATGGTAATGGTGACACATTAGTAAAAGTAACGATTGATTTTACACATTCTGCAACTTTTTTAAGTGATAATTCTCTAAGACTTATCATACCTAAAATAAAATTGTACATGTTACATTTCTTCGTTTGATGCTATGCTATAATGTCCCCAAGGTAAAGTATCATGACTGTTTTTGATTAAATAACGTTTATCATCGTATGGACTGAGAGCTTTTTTCAACTGCGTAATTGAAAAAATATTATGATTCTCAGATCTGATTAAATTCTGATTAAATGACTGCACTTCTAATTTTTCAAACAGTTCAAGTAACAATCAAATGTTACTTTCGCATCAACTACAGATTTTTTGACTCCTTTGATTTTCTTAGTAACACCTATATTTGACATGATAATTTCCGCAGTATCTCCAGTATAACCACTTTCAAGCAGACTCAACCGCATATCTTCTATTTCCTTAGGCGTTGTTAATCGTTTTATAGAGTACATTTTTGATCTGAGACCAACGAATTCGGTTAACGGTATACCTTTATATTCATCCTTCATAATTCCCGGAACCTTTTTATTAACCAACGGTATGTTATACACATTATCTGTTGGATAATCGCTGGTATCAAAATATTGAAAACAATCTTGTTTGATTACGTCTATATAAAAATCTGCACATTTTACCTCATACGTCATCGAGTCTGTGTCCATATACAGGGTCTTACACGTATTTAATGGGAATTTTTCAACATGTAATTATAGTGAAAGTCATATAAGCATACTTTGGAAATGTCCAAAATCGTCATTCCAATATATAGGGGCTTGTTGAAGAGAAGTTCGGTTTTTTCATTTCAATCGCTACGAGATTATCATCAAAGACTACTGCTATGAAAATTGGGGCTGGCTATTAGTTTCCTTGCACCATACCGACCTTCCCATTTGTTAGTGATACGGACTAGACGATGCTTTCGAACATTTTCCATACATTTTCCAAAACAGGAGTTGACAAGGTCTTTATACAAGGTTTTGTCAAAATCATTTGTAGCTAGCATACGTAATTTTGTATTCATCTCTACGTAAGGTTTCATCCAAGCAGCTTGCTTAAATTGCAAAATGCGGTGTACTTTTTTCAAAACTAAGCCATGTGCTAAAGCTTGTTTTAAATTTCTATAATGAATTATGTAATTTGTTTTATCGTAGAGAGTTGTCATTAATTTTGATAATTTTGAACCTGGTGGTACTCGATGCTCTGGACATAGCGGAAAATCTTTATGTTCATCGTGCAAATACTTTGGATACTCAAGGTCTACTTCGAGTATGTAACCAATATCTGCATCATCTGCAATATCATGTACATTCAACGTATCAACATTTCCATCCAAGCAAACCCTGCATAAGGAAGATACTGAGTCATAGCAAATGCGTATAATGCATTAACATCCAAATAAATGATAAACGTTGATGGTGCAGAGCTATCATAATCCGGTAGATATTTGTTATTAGCCTTTGAATACCTATTACAACATTGAGAGATTCCTCCGCGTATGCCACGTTCTACAAATAATAGCATATCAACATTTTTTAAAATTTCAATCTTACATCCGGTATAGCGTAGCATACAATCAAATGTATAACCTGGTAGGGTATAATACCATGCAGGATCTAAACCGTGCGTCCTATGAGCAGTTTGTCTAAAATTTTCAAAAACGTCTGCTAATAAAATAATGTCTGTTTTCAAATAAAGATCACTATATTGTCCGATGTTCTGAATTTCGAAATTGGTCCACACATCTTTAGCACGTTGGTACTCGTTATTGCTAACGTTTGTGTCATTTAGTCTATTGTAAAATAGTTCATGTGTAGGTAGTTCTGTTTCATTCAACTTTTGCCATGAGTCAACATAATCGTATGGAAAA